TAATGGATGTTTAATGGATGTTTAATGGATGTTTAATGGGTGTTTAATGGATGTTTAATGGATGTTTAGTATTGCTTAATGGATGTTTAATGGATGTTTAATGGATGTTTAATGGATGTTTAATGGATGCTTAATGGATGCTTAATGGATGTTTAATGGGTGTTTAATGGATGTTTAACGGATGTTTAATGGATGTTTAATGGATGTTTAATGGATGTTTAATGGATGTTTAGTATTGCTTAATGGATGTTTAATGGATGTTTAATGGATGTTTAATGGATGCTTAATGGATGCTTAATGGATGTTTAATGGATGTTTAATGGATGTTTAATGGATGTTTAATGGATGTTTAATGGATGTTTAATGGATGTTTAGTATTGCTTAATGGATGTTTAATGGATGTTTAATGGATGTTTAATGGATGTTTAATGGATGTTTAATGGATGTTTAGTATTGCTTAATGGATGTTTAATGGATGTTTAATGGATGTTTGATGGATGTTTGGTGGATGTTTAGTATTGCTTAATGGATGTTTAATGGATGTTTAATGGATGTTTAGTATTGCTTAATGGATGTTTAATGGATGTTTAATGGATGTTTAATGGATGTTTAATGGATGTTTAATGGGTGTTTAATGGATGTTTAATGGATGTTTAGTATTGCTTAATGGATGTTTAATGGATGTTTAATGGATGTTTAATGGATGTTTAATGGATGTTTAATGGATGCTTAATGGATGCTTAATGGATGTTTAATGGATGTTTAATGGATGTTTAATGGATGTTTAATGGATGTTTAATGGATGTTTAATGGATGCTTAATGGATGTTTAATGGATGTTTAATGGATGTTTAATGGATGTTTAATGGATGTTTAATGGATGTTTAATGGATGTTTAATGGATGTTTAATGGATGTTTAGTATTGCTTAATGGATGTTTAATGGATGTTTAATGGATGTTTAATGGATGCTTAATGGATGCTTAATGGATGTTTAATGGATGTTTAATGGATGTTTAGTATTGCTTAATGGATGTTTAGTATTGCTTAATGGATGTTTAATGGATGTTTGATGGATGTTTGGTGGACGTGTAACCCATGGTAACCCCCAAAGATTGGGCCCTTCTCCGTGATTCATCCCATCCGCGGTTGGAGCCCAGGCGCCGATCTCCCAACCGCGCGGGCTCTCTCGCTCCCGATCTCGCTGCGCCTCCCGTTGCTCAAACGACGGGTCTCAGGCTATGTCTTGTTGGTACTATTTGGCACTCCTTGGTATGTCATGTCCAAGCCATTTGGTTGTCCTATGTTGTCCTTGATGTATCATTGATGTATCATTGATGTATCCTGATGTCCTTGGTAGTGTTTTGTCATGTCACATGATGCCTAAGTTTGCCTGCCACCAGTTGGCTACAACGAGATACCACTGATACCACGAGTTCACAATGATTCGCAAATGATTCGCAATCCCTCAAATCTCACGATATCAGTTCTATATCGCACGCCTTGTGCCGATGACAGCGGTCACAAATGTCCGCACCACATTTCAGGCAGAACCATCTCCACAAGCCGCAGTTCACACGCCTCAGGGCGATGTCGCGGCAAGAGACATCAGCTGAGATTGGAGATATAGAATGATATAGATAGATAGTGATAGATATAGTATGATACAGATTGATACAGTATGGAGATGCCGGGAGATCTGGAAGTGGGAAATGGCATGAAACCAAAGATTCGGTCCTGTTGGAATAGAGCACGAGCAAGACCCATCTGATAAACCAGAAACGAAGTTTGGGATCTAAATCCAGAGACCTGCCATTCTCATGGTGAAAGTTCTCGAATCGAAAGGTCTCAATATGTCTCCACCATTCTCCGTCCCATTCTCCGTCCCATTCTCTAACCTGGTTGGTCCGACCTTGATCCACAGTTGTTGTTGCAAGCCCAACCATTGGTGTAGTAACCTCCTTTGTAGTCACTCCACCTGCCAGCAAAGAGATGGCTGTTGACATCTGTTGATGGTTGCCCTTGCTGTTGACTTTGCCAGTGAAAGTATGTCGAATAATGAAAAAAAGGAGCCAAAATGAGCAAAAAGAATATGTATACATAATATACAGTATATATATTTGAAGTTCCTGAGATTTCCTGACAAGCCACTCCATTGGCTCTTGGCAAATGGGACAATCTGGAAGTAGTTGGAAACTCCTTGCACTGTCGGGTCGTTGAAGACAATCGGTACAGGCATCCCATTGACCTCGATGACCCAGCCTTTGAAAGTGTGTCAAAGATGCATCAGCCATGGCAGCTATCATCAGTTTGTGCATTTTGTCAATTTTTTTTGTTCGTTATGGTTCGATTTCAAAGTTCGTAGATCCTTCAGAATCTCCCAGATCTTACAAGATCTTCCATGATTCGAAACGTATCATCATGTATCATCATGTATCATCTATTGTCAAGTCTGTACTGAGCGAACCGCAGGTACGATCTGCTGCTTAGATGCAAAGGGGACAGCTGTGAAGGCAACTTCCGGGAGGCAAAACCCGACCGCAAAGGCTGCAAGTGACGCCCAAATATGGTAAACCTGGAAGCTGCTGGAAGATGCACCCGGATGCACCATATACAGTATGCACATTATGCACCATACAGACCCATATAGTGGATGTGGATCTGAATTCTAGGGAGATGCCCATGGAATCGATTTGATCTTTTGGTATCTTTTGATATGGCACTTGATTCGAACAGACTACAGCTGGATCACATTAATAGTCTTTCACACACTTGTATCATCATGTGAATCATGTATCATATTGTGTATATTTGTATATGTCATATTGTATGCATGCTTCAGTTCGTTTGTTGGGTGTGTGGCTCATTACCGAACATTGTTGGCCTAGAGGCCAAGAGTGCGTAGTTCATGTCCTTGACGGCAGCGGTACCATTTGCCTTGAGAAGGGCGTCATTAACCCCATCCGTCCATCGATTCTGAAACATGTGCGATCCACGTCGGTGGCTGCAATCTGAATGTAATGATGATAATGTAAGTCGAGCACCTAATGACACCATCTCCACAAAATCTGAGTTTCATCCATTCATATCCATTCCACATATTCACATAACATATTCCACAGCCATCCACAGCCATCCACAGCCCAGTCGTCACAACAAGTCGCTATCTATCAGGACGCGGTGTCGATGCTCCTTGCGAAAAAAAAAAACGCGGTCAAGTCACGAGACCCGAAGATTCAGTGGTGCTGGATGCACAGTGGTGCTTTCCACTAATGCGTTGGTCGAAGAGTCGAAAATATAGTGACATATTTAGTGAAATATAGTGACATGATGATCATGATGATCATGATGATCATGATGATCATGATGTGACATGTTGTGTGGAGGTACATCAGATACGAAACCCCTGGCAAGTAATTCTCTTTGCATGCGGTGGATGGCATAGCAAACCATGTCCTCGGAGTTGTATGTTCGATACCTCGGCTGTCGTTCGAAAATCCAAATATGCACACAACACTCTAACAGAATTGGACCATTCCACCTACATACCCGAGCAACATTGACGTTTGGGCGCTACACTCTGCATTCTCATGGAAAGTGCTTGAAGATCTTGAACAGGCAGAAACTAAACTCTAGATAACTCTACTATATAGATGACTCTGCTGCAGTTTGCAGCAACATGCAGCAACGATATCATGCGTATCTGACCATCTCTCGACTTCATGCGTCCAAATGGCGAAAGCATCTCTTAGCAGCAACACGATCTTTGCATGCACACTGCGCACACTGCCATGGCTACGCATTGTCCTTTGAGTATTGTGAGTATCTGTGAGTGCTCAAATATAGATTCAATGCTTAATTATCTTAATTCAAGTAGATTGGAAACGCGGCATCTTTGTTGGTGGAGCTCGGTCGAAGAATGACAATTCGATCATGCCAAGCTCTGTAGGCTAGGAAGACTAGAGCAGGAGTGCCGACATATCAATGAGGCAACTGACACGTCGCTTCATTCCTGTCTCTGTTGCTGTTGCTCAGCTTGAAATTTGACAGTGTGACTGTGTTGAATTTTGATGCTGCACGTGCCGCCTATTGGGCAAGGACTGGGCAAGGGGCCGGTCATAGAATGGCTGAAGCAAATGTCTTTCAGGATGAGCCGAAACCAGTCGCGACCCAGCCATTCAACTGCGACTTTGGAGCTGCCATAAGAGGCACCTCGTGGCAACGGCTGGGCTGTCGCGCTCCATCGCCCAAATTTCCGAACTTCTTCTCCAACTCCTGTAGAGAACTGGCGGATCCCTCCATGATCCGTGACACCCCGTGTACGGAAGCATGCGGAAGCTCCCGGATGGCCGTGATGAGTGGCACTAGGGGAAGTGGCTTCCTGGTTTCTTGTTTTCGCAACGAAAGTCGGCTTGTGTTTCTGTCTCTCAGCATGGTCTTTGTCCTCAAGTGTGGCATTGAGTTGATCGTCGTCGAATCATCATGAGAAAAACATGGGAAAAGCTGCAACAAGATGGAAAAAAGCATGCCAAATCATCCAAAATCAGCTCTGTTTTGGGGGGAACTCTGCATCACTCAGATGTCGATCAACTCGCCGAACTGCTCCAAGGGACAGTGACCACATGCGACTACTATGGCATCAGCTCAGTCGGCTTCTGGCCATGCGACTTTGGTCCACATCTTGGGACTCCATCGATCCATGCAGCCATCCAGCGTTTCTTCCTTGGAACCTGGATTAACAATTAAACCTTTCACAACCGCTTGTCAGTTGTCTATCTGACTACCATGCAACTGAATTTGAGTTCGGACCTAGAGTTCGAACTACGGTAAGGTCAGGTCACGGTCACCTGCTTGGTGCCGGAGGGGTTCGCGGATTCGCGGAGCTGATCTTTGGTCAGTCGACATGCAAACTTTACAGCAGGCCGCGGGCATTCCTCTTTGAAGAAATGTCGGCCTGGTTAACGGCGATGACGGCGAGATCCAGTTGTGAGATCACCATCGG